AGCCTTCCCCACCAAAAATAACTAAATTTTCTGTGGCAAAAATGACAAGAGGAAGGACAACAGTTTTTTCAGTTTTAATTCCTAATACACAAAAAACAATACACAGAGCCCAAAGACAGTACAGAATTTAAAACTATTTTGGTACTAGCTGCTAATAACTGTTACCCAATAGCATTCTTGCTTAGCTCCTTCAGATTTCAGAAAGGGTTGATCAGGAGAACTTTTAAGGAACTGTGGTCATTAAGAAGAACTGATGCCATTCCAAGATGTGTTTGCATTGAAACTCTTTGAATTCTCAACACATCTGGAATACTCCAGGTAAGGGAAGGCTGCTCTAATGAACAGTGGTATACCTGGACCATCTTCAGTAACATGCCAAATGTCCATGATTTCCTGCATAGTTCTACCTTGCTAAGATTTGTCCATTCTTATAAATGCAAATATTTTGCCAGTTTACCCTCAATTACCCTCAGCTACGTAGACTCCAATAAAACACAAAACAAACTCAGAAAGGTCCATCATAAGTGTTTCATTCCACACCAGGGCTTGTTGGCTCCTGAAAAGCTGGAGAATTAATTACATTGCCCCCATGGCTGTCATTAGGATGCTGTTGAGAAATGCCAGGATCCGCTGCAAAATAATGTAGCTTCCCACACTGGGGAGAGGAAATGTAGCACAGTTGCTGGCTTCTACCTCAAAACAACCTGAGACAAAGCTGCAGGAAACCTTCTTCAGAAGGATTGACAAGGTCCTTGAATCACCTCAGAGAACATTCCCTTTTCATTATAACAGAGCTTTTGAGTTTCCTTTCTTTCTCTTACCATTGACAAGAAGAACTGGTGCAAAGAGATGATGCCGTGCAAGGAATACTGAATGCACCTTTCTTTGGAGAACAGTACAATTTGAACTTGTAGAACATTTCTGCCAAGGAAATAGGCCTAGCCAAGAAAGCAGGTGGTCCAAAGGCTAAAGAGAGAGCCATTCAAAGAATGTCCCAAAGAAGCAAGCTCATATTTGCTGTAAACCATTTCTGCATGAAACATATACATGATCTGATCCAATCTTCATTTTACTATTTCTAGTTCATCCATAAGAGGTAAACGTGATCCCTTCCCATCTTTTGATATTAATTATCAGACAAGCAGCTTCCAACCAAAAGATTCTTTTATTTCTGAAGCTTTGAGAGAAAGACTTGGAAAGTTTCGAGAATAATTTAAATGCTGAACATTAATCCTGTCTTGTCTTGAAGGAGGAAGGAGGGTGCTTAGGGAAGGGAGAGAGTAAGAAAAGAATCAGTTCTGGAAGACTGTCAGCATCTCTGTTCTTTTTGTGTCTGAAAAAAGGTGGCAAAACTTTTCTGGAACATAAACAATTTTTGCCTGAGGCCAAGGAATTAAAGAAAATACAATAACTGGAACATTTAAACAAATGTTTCTAAGTGAAAAACTTCTAAACATGATCAATAACTGTCTTCTTAAACAGGTGTCTGTGAAACTGACCATAAAAGACAGAATTCAGATTTAATCCTAAATGGTACCAGAAGTTTACAGTTGAATGCTGGTTACTGAATGCAATAAGAGTAGTATAAGTTGGAAGAAAAGCATGCCTGAGAATAAATGGTATGCTTAGTGAACTATTCAACATTTAACAGGGAATAAGATATAGGTGTGCAATATCCCCCTGATTGTTTAATATATTTATGGACAATTATGCTTATGGTGACATTAGAGGTGTGTTGGTTTGTGATGTAAATGTGTATAATTTAATATGTAGACAATGCCATGTAGTTCGCTGAGAACCCAAATGACTTGCAGCAAATATTAAACTGATGCCACACAGAGTATGGATCTCTGACAGAGAAAACAACAAATGTTGCAAGTTACTTCTTATTGGCGAAGACAGCAAGTAGATAAACAGGCACATCTTGGCAGAATGCTTACAAAATATTTGAAAATAGAGAAAAAAAATAATACTGGTAAATGCTGGTAGAAAGTAGTAGAAAGTAGATAGTATGTGGTCTGTTGCAAGATATAAAAGCTGAAAGAAGTAAAAATTGCTGTGTGTAAGAGTGTACTTGTAAATGAAGTGAGAGTTGAGTATGTTAGCTGAAACTTTAAGCTGAATGGTTTACTTGAGAAGACTGCACAATAAAACATGGTCCAGCATGAATGGCTGATGAAGAAATATGGATTGAACACAAAAGTGAGTGACCAGCCCAAAAGAAGTTCACCAAAGCGGTTTGGTCATATAGACAGAATGAAGATTGAATCCAAAACAAATATATATATGAAGAAAGATAAATGGATTTAGAGGAAGTTGTGGCTGGATGGAGAAAGTTAGGGAGTTTAAAGAACAAAAGACAATGTATAAATTGCTGCACGGACATGAAGGAAGCAGGGATATTTGCGAAGATAGATACGGAGAGTATAATGAATGGTGTTGATGTGAACCAGATTTGGTTAGATTTCCTTTTCTCTTTTCTCCTATCTTTAAGATCTTTTGCTGACTATTTATTCTTTTTTGGCACTTCGCAGAATGTTGCTTATCCCCAAATGAAAAAGTAAGTTGAATATTTATATAAGAGTAATATGTTTTTCATATGCTTAATATGAAGCGTATTACTAGTAACTTTATGACTTATCATAACAGAAACACCATGAGGTTCAGTATATAAAAAACAAACAGCTAACAAAACATTTAGGGATGTAGCTGAACTACTGGATGACAAACTGAAGGATTTAGTTGTACCATTACAGCAGATATAGCACAGATACCAGTGGTTGATGAAGACAATTGCAGTGGCAATGGATGCACGGTTGGAAGACCTGAAGGACTAGGCTAAGGACATGTCATTATGGAGAAAGCAAGAGTCAACAACAATTTGATGGCACATAATCAATCAATCACCAGTGCCTGAAACCAGTTTCATGAAAACCGCTTAAGGAACTGAGGCTCTACTAATGATCAAAAATGAAATTCTCTACATCTTACTGAAAAACTGAAAATAAATGGCTATACTGAGATGGCAGCCTTCTGAGAGAATTCTTAATGACCTCAAATGCAAAAATACTGATTTCACAAGATAACATAATGTGCCTTATCTACATATAATTGTTAGTCCAGTTCTCTTTCTTTCCATTGTCATTGTTCCTTAACCCATCTCCATCTTGTTCTTTTTCTTTCTTCATCTTCAAAGGTACCCTTTCTGGAAGGAGTGAGGAGTATGTGTGGGTGCATCTAGGTTTCTATGTGACAAAGTGGTCTGTTTGTGATGGAGAATGATTGGTATATGTAGATGAAGATCAGCTGATTGTGTAAAACGGGGTACCACATTTACAGGCAATTGACAGATCTTCTCCAGGACGATCTATTCAGGTCTTTCATGTCTTTCAATGATGCACCCATTGCTACTGTAATCAAGCCCATCCACCTTGCTGGTCATCTTCTTCTCCTTCCTTCCATTTTTTCCAGCATTATAGACTTCTCGAGAGTTGGATCATGTGTCCAGAACAGGATAATTTGAGCCTGGTCATTTGTCTTTGAATGAGAACTCTGAATTGATTTATTCTACAGTCCATTTCTTTGTTTTCTTGGCAATCCATGGTATTCTCACAAATCTTCTCCAATACTGATTTTCAAAAGCTCTTTCTATCTTGCTTCTATCTCACTTCTGGAGAGTCCAGTTTTTGCTTCCATAGGGTGTCACAGGGAAAACCATTGTCTGCTCATTTCTGATCTTTGTAGGTATCACAACATCTGAATAACTTTTTAAAGACCTTCGTTGCTATTTTACAAAGTACTAGTCTGCATATAATGTAAACTTTAACTTTACATTGTCTTATTTTAACTGATAACAGCACTACAATCCTATTCACACATACTGTATCTGGGATTAAGGTCCATTTAATTCAATGGCACACCTCTTGGCAATTATGTGTAGGACTGTTCTATTACTGTAGTGCCATTACTGGCAGCAAAAAGGAAAACTTTTTTTTTTTTAAAGAAATGATGCATTTTACAATATAGGTTTCCAGTGAAAGAATCACATATATTTGTACTCATTCTATTCTTCAGATCAAGATATCTCCAGAACTTGAGAATGTAATTAAAGGCAATTAAAACAAAAAAGATTTCAAAGTACATAAGTGAATTGTTATTCCTAAACATTTATAAACATCCGAGCTTTGTTTTCCCCCATAAACAAATACATTCTCTAACTCTACATTCCCTTCCCTTCTTGTTCCAGTTACAGCCTTCAAAATTTAATGCAGGATTTTTTTTTTATCAGAACTAATTTCATTCACTCAGTATTGCATCCATATTCAAAGGAAGAACATTGAAAATGCTGCAATTATGAAACTTTGCATATTATCATTATTAGCCTTTATACAGGCAGTGATTTCTCATTAATCCATAACAAGGTATCTTAAGAAATTACTCTCCCCCACTCCAAAAAAATCTGGTTATATTCTTATTTGTACTGGCAGACCTCATGTGCACTACCTACTGGATGGATCCTGGCACTACAAGAAAAAGATAGTGAATAAACAGAAAGGATTTCCAGGCCTTGAGATGTACAAAGGATTGTGGACCTACACTAACATATTTTTCTTAGATCCTCACTCAGCCCATATAGTCTAATTTTCTGCAAATGCAGGTATGGTATATACACATTTATGCATAAATCTACTAATGAACATTCTCCTATCACTTTTTTCAATTAGCTATTCCTGCTGATTGCCCATCACAAATTTTAATCCACCCACATCTGAACAAAAATTACCACCCAGAGTCACTTCCTTGTGAGATGGACGGTGTCTAAATTCGAAATATAAATAAATAAAATAAAATAAATTGCCAATTTATCTTTTGGTAAGGGAGCACCTAGCTGCTATCATGTCCCCCTCCCCTCAAAAAGACCCCTGCAAAAACATTCAGAATAGGTATAAAGATCTATTTCCCACAGGAAAGGTATTGAACTGGAAATTAAAGAAACATGAATGATAATATAAAAGCCAATTACTTGTAAGTCTGATGCTGACAGCAGCTTTTCTTCACCTGTAGTCTTCAAGGAGTGGCAGGGCCCTCATCTGCCGCTAGTGCTCTACTTTCCAATTTCCTGATCAAGCAGAGATCTATAAACTGCCTCCCTCTGTATGATTGCCTTCTCCAACTCCCTCCTTCTCTCTTTGGCACTGGCTGTATTCTGTAGAATACTTTGCACTCTGGTTAGGACCCAGGGTATCAGTTCTGGGCTGCACACATTTGGATACCCATGAGATGGCAGCAAAGGGTTACAGAAAACTAAGCATTGTCTATAACAATCTACATCTGGGGGGCCCTTAGAGCTCCTGGAAATAGAATGGGGCCCTGGGAAAAGAATTGGAGAATGCCTTTGGCCTATAAAGCCCAAGTATCTCTGTATGAGATCATTTCTCAACCCCTGAAAAAATGTTTTTGGCTGTATTCTTTTACATTTTCTAATCAAGTGCCAATGGTCATAGCAATGATTAGGCATTTGTCTCTGATGGGGTAGCTTTCACATTAGCGGCTCGCTCCTAGACTGAGTTGCAACAAGCCCTCTTTCTTTCCAAACCAAAGCCTCAGCTCTCCTCACAGTGAAGTTCACCTCTGACAATACTTACTCATGCAGTCACCTCCATACCACCCCGCTCGGCATTCTGCACAATAAACGCCTTTGATGTAGAAGTTGTCTAGTGATCCTCCCCAGGACCCATTGCGACAGGTCTTACAATTCTCAAAAATCATGCAACCTGAAAGAAGAGGGAAACTCTTTCGTTATGTATGTCTACATTTGGGTTTCTTGGATGAGTAGCTGCAAACTATAGCCCATGCAGCAAATATTTTTGCTTTGACTATATAAAATGTGGTTTGGAAAACTCCTTTCAGGCAAAACACTTCATATGAGCCAAACACACCCAAACATAAAGAGAGGTAATATAAATACAATTATGAGAGCTGGATACAACAAATTAAAACCATGAATTTTCCTGTAATTGGGTGTTATGGCCACAGACATCTGCAACTAGCCTCAATGACCAAAAAAGCGATGACATGTGGTGATGTGACAACACAACCAACATCCTTTCATACTTGTATTCTAATGTAAGATGCATGTATCAAAGTTACGGGGTATGTGTTATGATATCACAATGCATGTTTCTTCATCTGGCCTCTATCCCCTCCTCTCACAGATGCCTGTAGTTATAGCAGCTGGGCTTTCTCCAATTGATCTCACCCTCCTTCTCCTGAAAATCCTCCTCTCTGAGTGAAATTTACTTCCTGAACATCCTATATTGCCTTATATCAAGTCAGATCAACCTAAACCTAGAATTCTTTACTCTTACTTTCAGTAATGCCCCAACAATGGGTCAAAGATTAGATAAGTTTCAGTAGTAGTTTTTGCCTTAGAATTTATAAACAAGAGTTCAGAATATATTTACACACTTGCAGATGACTAGTCAGATGTTTCAGCTATATGACTGAGAAATACATTTGCAGAACTTCTAAACTTCCTGATACATTTGAAAATCCATTGAAATCTGTATGAAATAAATTTTAAATGTAAGTGAACTGAAATTTAAGTCTAGTACAGATCTAAACTATCAGGGGATTTATTTGTTAATATACATTAGGCTACAATGAAAGATTGCCTTGCATCTGTGGATAAACGAAGAAAATTCAGTGGAGGTCACAGGACATCATATACAATGCTTGGGCCAGATACCAGGAATTAAAGACTAAGAATCTGTTTACATCCTCGCTGGAAAGGCACAGTTGATCAAAGCCTACTTAAGGTTCATTGGCTTCAAGGCAATGAGACTTCTGCCTGAAATTGAAGGATTTGCCCAAAATAATTTCTTGGACATAGTTTGACTTTTACTAAATAATTTATTGGAAAATACAGCATTGAGATAATGGAAACCTGAGTTCAAAACCAAGGAAACTATGTGGATACCAACGTAATAAAACAGAGGGCTATATGTCATTCCAAAATTTAGAAGTGGTGCTTTGGAACACACAAAGGTGAAAGTGCAGCACTTCTTTAAGCCAGTTGCATCTTTTGCAGGCTTCTGTGTGAGCCTGAAATAATACCAGCTACTATGTCACATTAAAGATGCCGCTGTTTTAATGCATCAACATCTTAAAGCAGCTTTGTCTTATTTAGATCCATGTGGAAGTCTAAAACAAACGGTTGCATTAATGAGATGTTGTACTGACCACCATATGTTCTGAAGCACATCTGAATAAGTTTCAAACCAGGCACAACCCTAATCGATACACATTCTTTGCAGTGTCACAAGCTGCTTCTTTGTAGCCTTTATCTTCAATTTTTAAATTTTTTCTCAGCTGAGTTTGAAATCAACAATAATTCTTATCTTCTTTTTAAAGAAGGAAGTGTGCAAACTAGGCCTTGGAGACTGAACTATAAACTCCATGTAGTACTGACGCCAACTATGACTTTACCTTCTGGAGAGCTTCCAAGCATCCATGGTGAAATCCTAAAGTGTGAGTTTCTATTGCTAGAGAAAGGAAAACACTAACAACAATATGCTATATGCATTAACTCCTCAGCACAGTGAGCATTTGTATTGGCATCCATCCATCTCTAAGGAGGAAAAAACTATTCATCATCAAAATCTGGCAGATAAAATAGACTGCATGCTCCACCTAGCTACAACCATATTTACTGCATGTAAATTAAATAAATACAGTAAATAAAAGAGCACAGCTGGGCAAATCAACGTACCTGGGTGAATTAGGCAGGAGTCGCACTCATTGTCCTCATTCCTACAACAGGGAATAGTATATCCCACCACTTCTTTCTGTCCAGGACACACACACTTGATCTGATCATATTCACAACACTCCCGACACATGATATTCCATTCAGCACCTGGACAGTTTTCATTGATCACGGTGTACTCTGCAGAAAAGCAAAAGGAGAGTTATATGATAAAGAAGAATCAACTGTTGGCAGAAGTTGTAGTCCTTGTTACTGGAAGGCTAACAACATATTATACAGGCAATCTGGGAGGTTTCCTTTTGTAATAACATTAAGTTGCAGGGGAGAGGGTCTGCCAATTGCAATAGAGCAAGGGGAAGGGGCTACTCAATTCTTTCTTATGTCTCATTTTCTCAGTCAGAACTGTGTATGCTGCGCTACTAGTTGAAAATCCCAGCAGAGGAAAGACAGAAACCTCCCCCCTGCCTCCCTTCTGAAAGTTGACAGAAGCTTTGATTAGGAAAGTAGCATGGACTACTGTTCAATTAAATTGCTAGCATTTAACAACTGCAATTTATTTCGTAAAAAGATTCATCCCACTGGAAGATGCTACATATTATGTGCCCTCATCCAAGAGTGTCATCTTTCATTTATACCAAACTTCAGAATAAAGACGCTGTACAAGGGCTTGTTTATTAACTAATTATTATGCCTTGAATCCAGAAAAAGAATTCCCAAATCAGAATACCCTACATTACTTTTCCTTACAAGTTTTGGATTCTTTTTGGAACTTTATTTAATGCAAGGAATTAAATAAATAAGCTGTGTCTGAAAATTCAAAATATAATAAAATCACAGAACCTCCAACCTGTTATTTTTTCAGGCCAATGAAATAGGAACAATTTTGTGTAGCAGTCATATTCACACACCACAACAACTCAGCCACATAGACCCCCACGCTCTTCAACATCTACATGGAACCTCAGGGGGAGATCGTGCAGAATTCTGAAGTAGAATGTCACCAGTTTGCATGACACCACCCAGCTCTGTTGCTCCTTAGCATCCCAAATTCAGAAGGTCTTTCCCACTTGCAGCTCATCACAGTGCTGGCAGCTTCTCTTTTCTGCCATGTCTCTGTGATGTTGCCTTCATCTCTTTTCTAGCCTTTGGGTGAGACAGCCATAAATTGCATGTAGCCGTGCTAGTGTTAAAATAACGTTCCACCCCTTAACCAGACAGCACGCAGCAGCAGCCACAAGCTGTGCAAGATATGTTCATCATGCCTATGTCCAAGTTGAAGTCAGAAGCCCAGCAACAGGTTGGATTTGAGCAGCATTCATTCATCACCTTAAGCTGATGTGGACAGAGCGCACCCTCTCCCTTTGATCCCTGATCAGCCTGATTTGCCTTCACACTGCTGTTGTCTCCCTAAAGAACTGGACACATCAGCACTGTGCTGGTGGCCTATCTGAGCAGTGCAGTAGGACTAGACTGTTTAGTTGCCAATACTCCAAGTGCTTTAACTCTATGGCTGAAATAGAGAAACAAACTCCCTCTCTTCCTCCAGTTTCTTCCCAAACAGAGCACAGAAAAACCTGGAAATCAATATTTGTAGCCCATATTTAAAAAAAAAAGGAAGAGGAAGAAAATAAATAAAATGTTGTTTATAACTAGCATGATACTGGGAAGAAGAGTGGTCATTGTCAGTCTATTTCTACTCATGCTTCTCTGTGCAGAAGGAAGCATCTTGAAAACAAAGTGCATTAATGAAACCATTATAAAACATTTTTATATATTCACAGAGAGTTGGGTCCAGTTTGAAGGACAGCCCAGACTAAAAAATATGCAGGCTGGACGGCATAGGAAAGAGCACCCAAGTCTGTGGGATTCCTGTCAGCTGAAACTGCTTTCAGTTAGCTGCCTCCAGGCTCAGCCAGTAAAACAGAACTATATTGGCAAAAGAGCTATCAAATGGGAAAGGGGAACCAAGTTATATTACATCCAAACCCAACTAGATTAGAGAGTCAACATAGAACTACAATCAAGTTAGGCTAGGCTGAGAGCTAAAGGAAAAGATCTCTCAGGTCCAACACATAAAATCCAATGGAGCAGCCAAAAAAATCATATTTTCCCCTCTTGCAGGGATAAGAAGAATTTGGATTCAACAGAGTTTCAGCTACCCAAATATCAGGTCAGCTGGCCTTTAGCCATTTCGGCTACTTCACATTAGACTATCTATCTGGAGCTTCTGCATTCCTGCACTCAACGGAGGACACAGAAGCAAGAACGCTTTATAATCTCCCCAAGAACTGATTTTCTCTTCTGAAATGAATGGATTTGAAATGACATGTGACCATGTCCCTGTATGTGCTAGCTGCTATGGACTGGATATGTTCATATGTTCTGAACTGAAGAAATTGAACTTAAGGCTGAAGGTACCAATCTTTGATATTTGCAATAAAAAAGTACATGTTCCAAAGATTTCTAATTATTCAGTCTATCAGGAAAAAGAACAGTGTTATAAATATCAATAGAAGCATTATGATTAGTAGTGCTAGCAACTAGAACCAATTCATACTCTAGTACTAAGAAATAAAGGCTTCAAAAAGCAATATATTTGTAATAATTTAGGCACAGTTGTGCTTTAGGGAATTCCATCTTAAAATTTTACATTAATTCTCAGGCACTGAATCCTAATATATTGTGCTCCATTGAAACATACTTATTTGCAAGTATTACTAGGTTGGATAGGCAAAATCCTAGGATAAACAAAAGAACTGGACTCCAGCAGGAAATTTCTGTTAGCAGGTCTGTTGTGTGGCCTAATTTATCTGTATATAATTTGTTTGGTAATCTACGTAGTAAAGCAGTACTACAAGGAAAGGATAAGATTTACTGAAAGTGAAACCCATCATGCATAAAGTATTATTAAAATAATTGTGCTAATTGTCATTTCAAAAATTATTACTTTTTTTGGAGCCACACTGATTTCATTATAGCTTTTACGACCAGATGGGATTATTTAACTAATCAATGATTCTACAACCAGGATAGTCCACAAACAGCTTGCAATGAGATATGGCATGCACAACCCATTGAAATGATTTATTCATACTTATTACAGACAATTAATGCTCACATTTTAAAGCAATGTAGAACAGTTAAATGTGCAATTTGATTCTGAATGAACACGAGAGGCCTTTAAAGGAACACCTTTCTACAAAATAAGGCCTGCGGGAAATGACACTGATTGGTTTTGAAGAAGTGGTTCTCTCATGGATGAGACTTAACTCACTTCAATCAAGCAATTAGGGTGTGGGAGAAGGCTGTAATGTGGAAGACTCCTCTTAGCCTTCTACTGCAGGTCTAGCTTCTAGGCTGGATGGCTATAGGATTGCCCATGGCACATTGTCAGACCGACCCAACCCAGAAAACCTTCAGCTAGTGGTCCAGAGGAGGTTTCAGGCTGGCTGTCTTTGGTTCAAACTGTGGGCAATCTCACAGCATTCACCAAAGCCACCTAGCCTGAAATCACATTGGCTAGTGCAATGGGAGAAGGTTCTGCAAAAGAAGGCTGAGAGAGGCTCCAAGGAAGAATGATAACATAATCACTGAGGGGCCATATTGCTTCACAAAGCAGCTTTGAAGTACTTTGCTCTGAACCTTCACTGAAGTGAAACATCCCTTCAAAGCTTCACAAAGCCCTAGCAGATATTTCGGAGCTTTGTGAGGCTCAGTGGATATCTTGTAGTTCTTCACTACTAAGGGTTTACAGTGGAATTGCCATATTCAGTCATATTTTATGAGCATGATCTAAACACTCATCCTATAATTTCTCTTTGGTTCCATCTTTTTTCCAGAGAGCAGAAAGTCTAGCTTTTTTCACATAAATAAAATAGTAGGCCTATATAGTACTGCGATTCAGTACAGAAGGTGCTTTGGAAGGCATTGGAGCATGAGCAAGCCCTGTCTGCTGCTCTTTAAAGCAGCCATACAGCAGCCATATGATCCTGGGAAAAAGCATGGCTGCTTTAAAGATCTGACTAAGGTCTCCCAATATAGAGGAGTATAGAGATAGCGTCGAGGAAGGTACACAACAGTCATTATGGAAACAGCACCTTAGCCTGAAAGGGAGAAGTAAGTGAGAAAGATACTCAAGACCCCCCTGCCTTGATTCTCATTGGCATAAGAGAGGGGAGAGAAAATCTGCCAGGCTTTCAATGTTCTGTTATTGTACCCTTAACAATTCTAGTAGTTTTTATGGTATCTGTTTCCTGACCTGACCTACCTTGAAGAGCTGACCCTATTTAGATTTTTTAACATTAGTGGTCAATGTTAATCATGGGAAAACACAACTGCTTGTGAAAATGTGAGAACTTGCAGAAATGGTGAAGCTGACCTGTTTGGTCAGAGAACAAACAACAAAAACTGTTATGAAAGACTGGAAACCTTATATAGATTTTTTGCTAAAAAAAGAAAAAAATGAATCAATGATTTATGGATTTGAAGATTAGAAACATTGGACTAAACCAAGGGTAAGGAGATTTGTAAAATATTTAAGGAGGAGGGACAATAAGAATGTAATTATCTGTTGAAAAGAAGGGTGGAAGTCACTTATATATTTCTTAACTTTAGTTTCCTTTTTTTTCTTGCACATTTCTGTTTTTCTTTCTTTTTATTTTTTTCCTCTTGGTCTGTCTTTTATCATATGAAAACTCTTAATAAATATAAATTTAAAAGAAGGAAAACACCATTGCAATTTTGATTGTACTGCACCTTGTAAGAAAAAAACAATGATTCACTTGTATTAGGAACTGAACTTATTCAGAAGTAATCACATCATTTGTCTCAGAGTTAATACTCTGAGAATAACAAGGATGTAGCAATGGATAGAAAGGAAAGAAAGTTTCTTTGCAAACATCTAAATTGGGGGCAGCTATGAATTGAAGGAGAAAAATATAAATGGATTTCTTCCTGTGCCTCCCATGTCCCACAGATAATTAAGACTCCAATTGTAATAATACTGTTTTGCTATTGGAGTGGTTCTACTGACAAATTCTTCTACCTGAACTGTTCTACTTGTATACCTGCCATGTTCCTGCTGCATCCTTTCACTGGTAGATCTTCAGTACAAGTAATTATGACCTAAATGTCAGCCATATAGCCCCATTAATATTAGTTCCCTCTACAGAAAGTCACAA